TACGCCCCCCCCCCCCCCATGTGTTTAAGTTACCTTTTGTGCAAGAATCTTCTCTAATCCTAGATATCAATAGTGTTGTGACCGCCCCCTTGACTGAAACGATCTCGAGCCCTTATGAACAACTCTATGATCATAGAAGAGTGAGGTTTGTTCTTGTGAAATGTCAGAGAAGCCAGAATTGTAACAGAGGGACCTGTCTTGGGTACATATGGTACACCCAAGCCACCATGCATACCAACTAAAGGGTGTATTGTTCTTTATGGGATGTAAATGTTGGTAATCATAGCAGGACTGCACTTTGAGAAAGTTGATGGTTTGAGGCATGTCCTAAAATATCTGCAGTTTGCATAGTCTCAGGATCTTCGGATGGGGTTTGGAATTGCTAGCATATTTCTTAATTTCAAACTATTGCTCTGTATCACATTTTTTATGTTGTACAGAATGAAATCCCCCATGGCCTGCTCTATGTCACACATTTCAGAGTTGTTTAGTTGCTCTGTAAACTCCAGTACGCATGCCAACATTGCTTAATGTGTCATTTGGTCAAAGAGCAAAACATTTCATAAATTCTAAAAATATGCTGAGAATCCAGTTTGCATTGGAGAGGCAGTCTGATGGGATAGAAGTTTCACAACAGTCCTACAATTAAACATAGCACATGATCGGATTTATTAATTGAATGTTCTTGGAATTCTTTGCTGTGTGATTTATGGTCTACCTTATTTTAGCTGCAATTCAATTAGCAGCAACTCTTTAGAGGTGTTTTCACAGTTTAATTTCCCACTGATCACAGCTGTTCATTTGGTTAATAGATCCTTAGACACAACATTTGCTAAAAGTGGGAAAAGCATAGTGTGGGTTGTTAAGTAGCAATGTTGTATTTTTAAAAAGAAAGGTAATGATACATTGGAGCTAAAGTTCTACTTAAAATCAGAATAGTTATTGAATTTTGGAGGAACACACCAAACTGGAAGTGGTTGGCTTCAGGCACAGGCAGTTTATGTACCCTCCTGTGGTCCAAAGGGTTAAAAGGATTCCAGCACGGCCGCCCGTAACAGACAAGGGATCCTGAAGGCTGCATAGAAAGAAAAGAAAAACACTGGGCGCCTGACCTGGTGCAATATTCCTTTTTATTGGTAAATTAGTATTGTTAAAACACGATATACTCACTAATGGAGCAAGTAAAATGTCAAATTGGACTGACAGTCCTCACTGGATGAACTGCTTTGGGGATGGATGAAAAGTCCAGTCCAATTGTGAGTATATCGTGTTTTAACAATACTAATTTACCAATAAAAAGGAGTATTGCACCAGGTCAGGTGCCCAGTGTTTTTCTTTTCGGTTTATGTACTGGGTATATCTGCTAGGCTGTGTCTGACCATACAAGTAGAAGTTAGGCAACTTAAGCTCACATGTGTAAGACCCACATGCCACATTTATGTGTGACATAATCCTACTGATCCAGTCATTTAGTAACTCCCTTAGACCAAACTTCTGTTTTTGTATGGAAAAGAAGAAATGTTAAATAATATCTAATACTCTCATACACACTGCTGATTTATTTCCTTGCATGAAGCCATTGGACAGGAGAGCTGTATGCTCCCCATACATTGGCCAATGTCAGAAAATTAACTTCAAAGCAGAAACATTCAATGTGCAATTTGCCTGTGTATTTTCAGTCTATGGCAGGGCTGGACCAAAAACCAGGAGCCAGGTATCTAGTGCTCCTTAAAAATTACAGCTGGTGCCTTACTTTTGAGGTTTCCTTTAGCTGTTGTCAATGGAGCTGGCTCCTAAAAAAAATATCCTGCTGCCTCCAGAATTCCATATTAATTTGTCCACTCCTGGTATGGTCATTAGAATAAATAGATTAGAAAATATACACAAGTTCTGAATAAATTGGTATCTAGTATTTTTTTTAGTGTTTAGGAAACCTATGAAGCCAGAAATTTTGGAGCAACCATTGTTGACTTGTTTGGCAGTCACACACAGTCTGCGTTCCAGGTGCATACATCCCAACCTCTATGGATATATACGCTTGGAGCAGTGTTTACCAGTATACAGCCGCAACCTGTTATTGATTTGTACACACCACCTTTGGTTCCCAGGCGCAGAGATCTGGCTATTTTTTATGGTACATGGACCTCTGTGGGAATGAGACCTAAAATGTATAAAGAAAAATAGAATATAATTTCCCTTACACAATTTAGTTATCCTGAATTGTATAAGTTCTTCCAGACCAGCTGCAGATATCATTAAATGTATTTTGTTTATCTTTAGGACATCAAGACATTTGTTTTGCCTTTAACTTGTGAAGATGGAAGAGAGAAGTGCCCATTTGATCCAGTTATAGGGTACACTGGATTTCTTATTGGTAAGACCTGTTACTTGTAGGCCGCACCTAACTAGCATGTTTGTGTACATGTATGTTTGTATATATTTTTTTTTTCCTCTCATCTTAGGGATTTAAGAACTGATAGGGCTAGTTACGTATTTAAACAGTTTTAAGTGTTGGTGTGTGTTTTTGCTATATTACGTATGGAATAAAAAATATTCCAGGTGTGAGTTGTCTGACAGAGCATCGCCCGTTCAGTTATGAGAACAGGGAAGGATCAGTTGCACAGAGACTTTACATTAAGTTGAAAATTCTCCATTAACGATCATGTGCACTTCTATTGGCTAAAGGTGCCCATACACCTTACGATTATCGGACGAAACTTTTCGTCCAATGATCGAACCGTCGTACGATTTTCGTACGACGGCCCCATCTTGCCCCGAATATCGCAAGGTCCAATTAGCGGTAGTTAAAAAAAACACCTGGACGACTTGCGGTAATTGACCGCAATTGTTTTCGTTTGCACATGCGCAGTGTTAATCGTACGACTTTTGACGGACGGAAACGCCACCAACCATGCGAACATCGTACGATCTAGCAAAGTTTTCAAACATGCTTGACCGTCAAAAGTCGTACGATTGTACAGTACTATCGGTCGGGCACTCTATTCACACATTACGATTGTCGTACGAAAAGTCGATCGCATACGATTGTCGTACGATAATCGTAAGGTGTATGGGCACCTTAACAGTGTTAATCGTCAACTCCTAGGGAGGCCCTAAACAGCCCGATCCTCACGCTAGAGTCATGTTTACTGTCATTTAACTATAAAACACTATATAAATGAGGAGTTTTTCACTACAAGGTGTGAATGATCCTATTTACTGTTTGGTGCCACGATATTTAAAGGAATTTTTCATTTTCATTTTAAGCAATGTTAAAATCACTGCTCCTTTCAAAATTGTATTTTTTAAAAGTGTTTTTTTCATTGATACATGTCCCCCAGGGCATATAAGGCTTTAAAATGGGGACATTTGGTTTTAAGAGTTCTGGTCCCATAGTCTTTCATTGAGTTCGAAGGCCGAGTTCGGACTTTTTCCATGTTCTAAAGTTCGAACTCGAACCGAACTCAGGTGTGTTCGGCCCATCACTACTCCTGATTTTAATGTCACTTTAAATTATAAAATAATTCACAGAAATACATTACCCTTTTTTATTTTGTTCAGCAGTTGACTGCAAATATGACTTTTTAGTGATCCTATCACCCACATTCTAAAACAGAAGCCCAGAGTGATTTATTGCTTTGTTACTTTTAGATGAGGTTCTGTACACGGCATCAGGCTATGGCTTCTACAGTGTACCAGATATACGGAAAAATGTTTCAGTGCTGCATACATTGAAAACAGAAGCATCACCTCTGCAATGGCTGAATGGTAAGATATTATTCGTATACAAATGAGCGTATTTCTATACACTACTACAGATGAAGAAATGTCTGTTGCTTTTGCCTACAGTCAGATTTTAGCACATGAATGTCAGAAAACACTTCTGGCTGCAGATGGCAACAGTGACCTGACTTATAGGGAATAATGCTTTTGTAGAAATTTTGTTTATGAACTAAAAAAAAAAGTGTGTAAATATTTTGACAGGTAAGTGGGATATATTGCATATTAGTATTTTTGGTTCTTTTGTTTCTTACATTCTCAATGTAGTATTCTTTTTCACATGGTTGGCTAGTTTAGCTTTCAGCTTTGCTATAAGAAACCTATTTCAAGGCATATTCCAGAATTATCGAAAATAAATAAATACATTCACACACCTTAATAAAAGTGTGCATTTATTATTTGTTGCATTTGAGCCTGCAAAGCATTGCAATCATGATCAGAGAATGACGGGTGCAATGCTCTGGCTCATGCAGACTGATCCTGCCAGGGCTAAGGGTTGGGAGGAAGTATGAATGAACTGGTGACGTCAGCGCACTTATACATCATTGAGAACTACAAGTCTCTCTGCCACAGTAGCAGATGGGTCTTGTAGTCTGTCCTTTCACAAATCCTTCTTTCCAGCTGCACTGTGCTGACAATTCTCAGGAGGCCTGTTTATCACAGCCTGTTATTCGATGGCTTATTACCTTGCTCCTCTTTTTTTTTTTTATGTGAGCAGATTTTTGCTGCCCCTGAAATGTTTACTGTTGACATTCCCACAACTTCTGACAAAATCGCCATTAGCCGCTCATTCACTTATTCTGTGTTCGTTTTCAGAGCTCCATGGGCTTTGACAGGTTTCTCGGGTATCTTCATTATTGTATCCGTCTCCGGCAACCATCAACTGCCACTCACAAGCACCCTGGTTCTAATCAGCAAACACAATTGTCTTTTTATATCATTTCTTCACTGTGTTTTCTAACCTGGATATGTGTGCCCATGTGATGATTGCATACTAAGGAGAAGCGGCACAAATAATTCAGGACGGACATATGAAATGCCTTCTGCTCATTCTCTGACATCCTGTGTTATGACATCCAGTAAAGAAGGGGATAGTGGAACAGGTTGGCATTTCACAACATGGCAGGCGGACTTATATAGACCTCCATACTTAAAGCTATACTCCAGGCAGATAAAGAAAGATGCATATTAATGCAACTTGTGTTCATTGATCTGTCATTTACATTTTTTATTTTTTTTAAATATTCAAGCAATGTAAGTACCTGGATTTGACTTGATATTAGACTTTTACTCTCCCTAGTTCAGCAGGACTCTGGAGAGACGGGAGCTGTGCTGGAGTACCATGTGCTAACACAGAGCATGCTGAAAGCAGTAGAAAGCAGAGTGATGTAGAGATGAGCTTATCAGTCTGCTGCTTCTCCTTTCACTGTCCAGTCACAGACTGAAAGGAGGAGCAAGACCTGTAAGTGTTACTACTTGACTGCACAAGAGAAAATTCAAGTCTCTTCAGCTGTTTAAATCTCAGAAATTAATGGACAGAAGTACAAATCCTTTTGCAGGTGAACAGCTTTCATGTATGCATTTCATGTGGGTATGTAGTGGTTTGCCTGGAGTTCAGCTTTAAGCTAGCTATATTACACTTTATCTCGCCTGTCTTTTTCAGGTTTGCATGCATGCAGGATGCCGACATGTAGCATTGAAACAATCTATATAGTATTAACCACCTGTAGACTGGCCACTGTGCATAAATGGCTGAGTTAACTGCCCTGTTGCTCTGGGAGGAAGTACAGTACTTGTATGTATCGGCTTCAGGCACAGAGCTAATCGGTCTGTGTGCCTTGTGATCACTGTGATTGGTTATCACCGTGATCACATGGCAATGTTTACATTGCCAAACCCTCCCCTTCCTATTACAGCAGAAGCAGGAGAGAATAAAGGAACTAATGAATGAGTCATCCATGCATTACTTCCTGGTGAAAACAAGCTGCAGCAGCAAAAAATGAATAAAGCATACTAAAATTTTAACCCTTGCACCTCCACTCTACTGTATATGTCGGCTCCTTTCGATCTCTGTTCTGCTGTTTATTAACCTCCTTTACCTCCCTTATCCTTCACACCTGTATTTTAACCCCATTCATCCCCATCATCCTATGTGACCTTTCCATCAACCCCTTCACCTCCGCCACCCTCTGTGTATGACCTGTACGTTTAATGTATCTAGGGCACAATTTCCGAGCTCCATGTTTTACCCTCCTCAATACCGGCATGTTTCCTTATTTACAAAAAATTGTGGCAAAAAATTAGATAACCTTGGGGTATCTACTGTCCAAAAAGGAGTCATTTTGAGGGGTTTCATATTGTCCTGGCATTTTTCATTGCAATGTTATATAACAAAAACTGGGGGTTTTTTTCTAATTTTATTTCTACTTTTTCCCCCTTTTTATATAGTAAATAAATCAGTTATTAAATACCACCAAAGAAAGCTCCATCTGCCTCAAAAAAGCACTGAGAACTGAGAAATGGTCTGGTAATGAAGGGGGTTTAACATGCCGGTACTGAAGTGGTTCAACAATACAATATCAATTGCATGTGTAATGTAGAACTATTGTAAAGTGTGTAGGGATGTACCGATACCAAGTACCGTACTCGGTACAAGTACAGATACTTTTCGAGCTCCAAGACTAGAGAAAAATTCAAAAGTTAGGAGGCAGCTGTCATGTGTAAGGAGCACATGGAGCTCCTGGGATTTGTATATCTCTGTTTTAATGTATGATTTTGTTTTTATAAACGTATATAAAGGGATGCACCGATACCATTTTTGCACAAGCACTGATACATTTTTGTTTGTCATGTGACAGTTTTTCTAAAACAATATCGACTAATGATTTCAGGACAGTGGTGGAGCTCCAGGGCCCAGTTGCAGCTGCAACCCTGGTAGTTCTCATGAAAATGCCAAGTATCGTCACTGGTATCTGAAAAGTATCTGTGCATCCTTAGTGAAAACAATTCCAGTTCATCCAGTCACTGTATTATACATCCTGATACTGATTTTTACAACTGAACTAAAGGTCTTCACACACCTTGAGATTTCTTCACAATTCATAATTTCTTTGTGGCCCGTACAATCTGAGTGTAGAATGTATTGCTGACAGGATGGGGTTGTGTGGATTTTTGGTTAGGTAAAGAGTTTTCAGCAATAATGTTTAAAGGATAAGTTACCTTTGTGTAACAGGCCCATTGCCCGAGAACTGATAGTTACTGTGTGAACAACATTCTATCTCTATATAAACCTGAGATTTTGGTATTCTGTATACATTTGTTATGACTGCTGCTAATCCATTCTATGTTATCAGCCACTAAGGTGGTATGAGGCTAAAAGAAGGGTTCTGATCAGTTGGAAAAGAAAGCAATGAAAATGCAAGGTCTGCCTATGTTTAATTACCCAAATAAAGACTACTACTTCAAGCCTCCAAAGAAAACATTAGGGAAAATTAAGAATTACATAACTCGGCCTTTTCCAGGATCCTGAGAAAGCTGAGGATCTTAAATTCTGTGGCAGTCTCTCAATGCTGCAACTTTCTGCTGAATTGGGCAACAATCGAATATGTACAGTGGTACCTCGGGTCATGAACATAACAGGTTCCACGATTCTGTTTGTGAACCTAATTGGTTGCGAACCGTATCAAATTTCCCCATAAGGTTCAATGTAAATAAGGTTAATCCGTTCTGACCCCTACCAACGTGGTCACGAACCGATTTTGATCGCGAACAGAATCAAATTTTCCCATAAGGTCCAGTGTAAATGAGGTTAATCCGTTCTGAACCATATGTAAAAAAAAAAATGTAACCGCAAAAATATGAAACAAAAAACAGTACAGTATGAAGAGTGTACACTAACGTTCTTGTCACCTTCATAAACGCTCTGCACATTCTTGTCGCCTTCATTACTGCTCTGCACTTTCTTTTTACCACCATGCTTGATCTGCACTCTTTGGAGTCATGCTGTATTGAATAATACTGTACACTATTGTGCTACAAAGCACACAAAAAAGCTTCACAGCAAGTGTGCACAGGTCTGTCTGCGACTGCGATCTCGACTAGAGGAAGCCACGACCATGTGTCAGAGCGGGGAAGATGGCCACGGTTGTGTTTGTCACCCGATGCAGAGTTCGCGAACGGAGGCAACATTTTGCCGAACTTCCTGTTCGCGAACCGAATTGTTCGCAAACGGAAGCATTCGTGAACCGAGGTACCACTGTGTTTGGAAGTCTGTTAGCCCAAAACATTTTTCTTTTTTTTTTTTAGAGATGCCATTTAATTGGAAGACCTTGCTTTAGTACTGTTTTCTCCGAGATGATTGAGTGTTGCTATTGGCTGAACACTCCCCTTCCATTTTCTAGCTGTGGAGACCAAATCATTGATGTGTAGGGCAGAAGTTGGCTTTTTTATATGTCCAACCATTTAGTAATATCTATAGTTGGCTGCACAGTATGTTTATTAAACATCAGATATGTTCCATTGTATCTTTTCAGGGCTGAGACGCTTTGTATAGATGTTTTTAAATCACTGACTGACAACCGTTTTGTTTGGTGTTTTGCTTTCCCTAGATGCTGAGTTTGTGTCTTCATCTTTGGTTCAAGAAAGTATAAATTCTACAATAGGAGATGATGATAAAATCTACTACTTCTTCAATGAACAAGTCAAGGAAGAAAGTTCTGAGTTTTTAGCAAACACCAAAGTCGCCAGAGTAGCTCGGGTGTGCAAAGTAAGCTGGTTTTAAATCATTTTGCTAAATTTGTTTGGCCATAGATAAATTACTGAGAGGAAGCCTACATATGGTCTATTCAGCCTGCCCCAAACAATCATCTTCTGTTATTTTGATCTGTTAAATGTACCATTGAAAGTGTTTTGTTGAATCTGTTGGATATGTACAAAAAATCCTGTTGATCACGTCAGAAATACAGATCAGTTGTGTGTCTTGTGCACACTTCTAATAAGCCGCCCTAGTTGGTATCTAAGGATACAGAATGAATATTGTCTATGTTGCATACCATAAGTTAAGGGGATATGTCTGAGTAGTTTAGCAAAAAACACTGGGCAGGGCTGATACCAGTCAGTCCACAAATATGCTGCATGTTGTCGGCCCACAACTGGACTTAGAAACAGAGTACATTCTGATAGATCAACATGTATTTTTCTGTTCTTTGAAGGTGTTTTAAGGGATAAACATGGAATATTGTGCATTTATTGCAGAGATATACTGTCTATATAACACTAAGCTTAGCTGCTGCTGCGACAGAAACCCAATCTGAAACATGCCCCATCTCGGGTTCGGTTTCTGACATGGTGGTGCCTCTTTTATTTGTGAATCTGAGCTTGTGCACAATTTGATGAGAGCAGTTCATACTGGCTCAGTCTTGTGTGTGTGCTTAAGGAAGTCAATGCCAGCTTGTGGGTGATTTAAGCTGAACACCAGGAATGATCTGTTTTATAAACTTGCATTGCGCCAGCTCGGTTACATGTAATTATGCATGTGTCACATCTGGGGGGCTGCTGGGGATGCTGAAATGTACTGTAGTAGTCTGTGATGTCCTCTTCCATCCAGTGTACAGACTTGCTGACTGTACAATGAACAAGGGGAGTCGCTTGCTCCCATTGTATTTTTTTGTCAATGAATAAAAGACGTGCTCACATTGGATGTGGTGGTGATCATGATGTCATCCTCTTCTCCCTGCCCAAACAAAGAATGCCCTCCAGATATGACACATGGACACAGCTGGCCTAATATAAGTTTAAAAAAAAAAAGATAATTTCTGGAGTTCAGCTTTAAAGATCACAGGTCTGCATGTCCTATTTTTTATATATATGAGCCATTGTGATCGACTTACTAAAAGACTAGAGAATGTTGACCTAGTAAAGTGAATAAGGTGACGCATCTAATCATGTACAGTACATACATATGGTTGAGTACTCAAAGTGTACACCGCTCAACTTAATTTACTAAGATAAGTAAAGAGTCTCCATTCCTTTAATAAGTAAATCTCATTGCATTTTAAAGAAGTGTGTTAACACATTACAAATGTGCACATTTTTTTATGCCTTTTAATGAATTGTTTATGCCATTTAGTCCCATAACTTCCAATTGCAGAACACCCTTTGATCTCAAAATTCAGTTTTTGCTTCCCATGCAGCATTTATCAAGCACATTATACACATGTTTAAAGGCATATTTGTGGCGTTTATGATGCATTTGGCTTACAATTCTGTTTCATTTTATTGCTTGAGCTGACAGCCCAAATGTTGGTCCAGAAAAAATCATAAAAGAAACAAAATCACAATAACAGTACATTTGAAGATTTTTTTTTGTGGTTAGTTCACAGATGGAGAGAGCATTTGAAGTGTTTTTAAAATGTAACAACACAGTCAAAAGGATCAAACATGCTCCAGGGCTGTCATCCTAATCCATTCTTCACTACTTAACTACCTGACTTGGACAGGCATGTCCATAGTAGGTGCTGGGATATTTGTATGCACATGCTTATTCCAGGCCATTGGTTCACTAAGTAGTGAAGAATGGATCAGCATGACCGCTCTGGGGCATTTCAATACAAAAAAAACATTCAGACATGGCAGCTCTTGTTTCTGTCCAAATTAGATCCTTTTAAGGAAGGGCTTCTTTACAGTAATCGTGATTCAAGCTGAACTCCAGGCAAACTGCTCAATACAGAGATGAGGGAGGAGGAGCTTATCTCTCTGTTGCTCTGCTGTCTCCTCCTGCCCATCCTGCTTTCACTCCAGTGCTGCTTGGATCTTAGTGCTGCTTCTCATTCCTCCTTTATGAGTTGCAAAGAATCCTGCCACTCTGTTCGCTCCTCCTATCAGCTTGTTCCTTGTTAGCACCTGAGCACTGCAGTACAACTGACTGGCTCCTTGTGCTGCTTCACCCTCTCCCATTCTGAGATCTGAGGTATGAAGATGAGGCTGATACCAGGCCATTTATTAAATATTTATTTTTATTTATTACCGGTATTTGTAAAGCGCTGCGTAAATTGTCGGCGCTATATATAGTGCACATTCACATCAGTCCCTGCCCTCAATGAGCTTACAATCTAAGGTCCGTATCTCACATGCATACATATGAGTCCAAATGAGTCAGGAGCTAATTAACCTACCAGTATGTATTTAGGGAGTGGGAGGAAACTGGAGTACCAGGAGGAAACTAACACAAGCACAGGAAGTACAATCAAACTCCTTTGCAGATAGTGACCTTGCCAGGATTCTAACCAGAGACCCCCAGTGCTGCAAGTTGTATGCATTAATGAATACAGAGCTGCAGTAATATGCGCTTTTTAATCTTCTTGGAGTTTAACTTTAAATCTGTGTGTAGCTACCATAGTTTGCTTGGACGGGTTACCTTTATTATGTGTTCCCTCATTGTAAGCACGCAAGAACTCAACTTTTTCAATAATCGATTATAATCGATTAGTTGTTGCAGCCCTAAACTAATTGTATACATCTTTCTTATATCAGTGATAATACAGTATGTGGTATACTTATTTATTTTATAAAGGGTCATGGGAACTGTGTGACAAGATTCACTACAGCGGAAGAAAAGGCACTGGCAGATCTGGCTTGGCATAGATTGTTAGCTCCGTGGGAGAGTTTTTCCTTCTTCCTCAGTCTTGTATATCTTTCATTCAGTCCTATCAGTTCTTTGTAGGAAAATGGTGATTTGTATTTTACTATTACTTGTTGGCAGCTCTCCCCATTTTGAGTAAAGTGGTCTCAAAAGAACACTTTGTCAGACTTGCTTCTTGTGTTAACAGAAGGCTATAAACGCGTCTATTTCTAAGCTGTTCCAAAACATCACAAAATAGCGCACAATTGTCCAATAAAAAAACAAGCCGTAAGCTCATAGGCATTATCTGAAAAGGCATGTTTCCCCAGCAAACTCATTTCTTGCTCTGTTACAAGCCATCGGCCAGAATATTTTACAATGTGTGCAGATGGTAAATAGCTTCATCTCTTATCAATTTCTACAACGTTTCCCTTTGCTGAAAATGGGTTTCACAACAGACTCATTAGCTAGTACATTGAACTCTTGTTGTCCCAGTCAAGTGGCATGCAGGGACAGAGTATAGGAGCCTTGTTCTAGAAAGATATACAACTTCTCATTGTGCACTGGTCCTTTTCTTGGCAGAAATTGACTAATAGTATATAATGTGTATGGAGATATACAAAGATGACGGGAAAATACTTAAAACACCCTGTAAGTGATATCCTTTGTATCCTCTTTCAGCACAAATAAGCAGCTTGGGCTTAAGAGGGACTATGGGCAAAATAAAAAATGATATGCAGGATGCAGTCTGCCAGTAGCGTTAACACAGCAGTTTTTTTTACTGAGTCACCACATAACAGTTTTATTACCTATTGATCCTGCCAGTGGATCTGATATGTTTACAATTCCTTCAACAGGGTGTCAACTGGTGACAAAATTATGTTTTGTCACCCTGTGGACAGGTTAGTCTGAGATGAAAATGTAGTTTTAAACGGATTTTAAATAAATGACAAACAAATTATTATATATATAATTATATTTTAGGTGCGATTAGATGCACGATCGATACGTCAAGGGAGAGTGATTGATTCCTAGCGGCATGTGATCATATTATATGCGATTCCATGCGGTGTGCCAGCGTTCAAATGCAGCAGCTGTCACCCAATCATTAACTTGAATGAGTGACAACTGCTGCTTATAAACGGCAGATTGGGAATTCCTGCTGCAGGAAATCACAGGTTCCCTAATCATCCCTAAAATATACCTGTAGGAGTGAATGGAGCCGAACTCTTTTTTAAGCAGTTAGATTAACATTTCTTTTATTTTGTGGGATCACTTTGAAATGCTCCTGAGCTCATTCAGAATTCATTGACAGGTGCATTTGATAGGCAGTTGACCTGCTTCAAGCAGGTTTTGCACTCCCATAGACTTGATTTTTTTTTTACTGTAGCAGAAAAATTATACCCCATATTAGGCTGTGAGCTTTACATGTTAGAGCAGGAGACAAACATTAGATCTGCACAGTATTGCATTGTTTCCATCACTAATACAATACCTTTTTTCCTTCTGCATGAAACTGTATTTTCTATTTTGTTAAATAGTGAAGTAAACCTACAAGAGAAACCTGATATGGTTCTGTCTTAAACAAGTTTTTGGTTGTCTAGAGTCTTTTGACTTTTGCATGCTTTCAAAACCTCCCTTTGCCAGCCAAGCTCAAGGTGAAGGATCCATTGGCCAGATTAGTTTTAACTAAACCAGTCACTGCTAGCCCCCCAGATGTGAGCTTGCACATCTGTGTTGTACAATCATTTAAAAAAAAGGTTGTTTGCCAGTTGGATCTTCAGTTCACGGTCTCCTGATTGACAGGGGAGGAGACCTGATTTTTTTTTAGCTGCAGTTTAGTAACGTTTACAGGTCTCCTTCTCACCCCCAGTGTATACCTGAACAGTAAATGTAAAAGCAACAGACTGATGAGCTCATCTCCCTGTCACTCTGCACTCTCCTTCTATCATGCTCCTTTCGTGGCAGTGCAGCTTAGATCTTAGTACTACTGCTTCTTCCCCCTTCATGAGTCCTGCTGTACAGGGGCTGCAAAAAGCAGACACCAGGTCAAATGCAGGCACCCAACTGCTGTCATTTAAAAAAATAATTATGGAGCTGCTTTGATTTGTGTCTTCTATCTGCCTGGAGTTCAGCTTTAAGTCTAA